TTGTTTCTTCTTCTTCTTTTAAATGTTATGGCTCCATCGAAATAATCAATGATTTTGCCAATGTCAAGTAAAAATAACTATGTACGGTAGTTTAATATTATTATAAAAATTATACAAAAAAAATGGCGATTTCGCCAATGTCCTGTGAGGGTGTTGTTTAATAAATTTCTAAAATATATCGACCCCTCTTACGAAAAGTATCGTATGTCGAAATTGCCAACTTTACGTTTAAGTTTTTAAAGTTCTGAATTCAGTCGTTACTACTCACATAGAGTGATAATTTAATAGATCATCATAGATAATCTAACCGATATTGAACACAAAGTAAAAATTTTAAATTGTTTAAAGTGCGGTCTGCAGCTATCCTTTAGGTACCATTAGTAAACATTCATAAATGTATTGTATTATTTTATTATACCAAGTAACGGGACGAAGAAGACGCGCACCAGGAAGTCTACACCCGTTCTCAGTACGACAGCCGTCCAAACAATTACCGTCAAATAAGTAATACGCGATCAAGTCTAAAGACAATCTCAAGTATGAAGGTTCATTCGCATCATGCATCAACTTATGTCTCAGGGTGACAGCGTAGTGGCAGTGCTCTTAAGGTCTTTGTGAGCTCTGAGTGGCACTGCAATTGTTATGGTTAGGCGCAGGCAGACCAGGCGCGCGACTTGTTCGTGCCGTCACTTGGTTTTATAAAAAAGAAAATAATTGTAACATGACTTTTTAATTAAAATACTATTCAGCGCGGTAATGCTGCCATTGTCAGTTGCCAGGAGACGTTTGAACCAGCTAAGATTCAGAGCGCTCCCTTTCCATTGTACTAGTTGGACAAAAAAGGCCAAGTCTGGCGAATTGCATTGTTAATTTTTATGTACCGAAGCCTATTGCTGATATATATTTGTGTCTTCCTGACGAAGCCTACGTTGCGGATTGACATAATTATGTAATTATTTAATTAATTCACTTTTTACATGAAATGAATTTTAACATTTAATGGAATAAATGATTATATTTTTAATTTGTCATGTTTACAATAAAAATTAAAAAAATAATTAAATACTCGTGACTGAAGTGATATCCAATTCAATTCAACCATTTATTCACTAACAATTTAGATAATTGTGTTTGAATGTCATAGATTCCAATTTAATCATATAAATTAATTAAAATACATAGTCTAAATTAATTATAAGAAAAAAAATTAATTAATAATAATAAAATGTCAGGACACAAGTATATAAAATTATTATGAGTCAAAAAGAACAATTTAAAACAATCAATAAAAAAAAGAACAATTTATAAAACGAGCAACAAATTTAAAATTGTTCTACGGAGTAACAGCATTTTTGTAATAATGAATCTCTCAGTTTTTTTTAAACAGTTTTATGTCAGTAATAATCCTAAATTCTACAGGCAATTTATTAAATAATTTCACGAACTGCTATTGGGAGCAGTGCGTCACACTACGTTTAATTTAGGCTTAATCACATTTTTTATATTCTTAGTCGTAGTGGCCTCTCTCTGACTTTGCTCTTCATTCGTCTCAAAGTTTCTTCTCTGCTTTAAAAGTCCTGTCAGCAATACTACTGGTATGACTCCCATAGAGGAATCCGTACCATAGTGCGAATGGCCCTTTTTTGCAATATAAAAGCACACTATATTATATTGGAAATTATTTCCCCATAGTGCAATGCTATAACGAAATTTTGATTTAATCAAAGCATGATACACCGATTTTAATTGTTTATAGCAAGCACATCTCTTAAACTTCGTAAGGCGTAACGGGTAGAACTGATCGAGTTTCCTATAGCTGTAAGCTCATATTTCCAATTAAGAAAGTGGTCAATATGAATGCCAAGAAACTTAACATCCACTTTAATTTCTATTAGTCTGCCACTTAATTGAACATTCAAGGTATCTCTGTTTCGGGAAGTTTTAAATAATAGAATGTTAGTTTTGGAGGGATTTCCTTGCAAAGCGTTAGCTCTAAACCAGTTATCAAAAGCAGCCGGTTTGTTGTTTACGTAACAATTTAACTGGCAGCTATCCTTACAAGATATTGTTGCATTCGTGTCATCAGCAAAATTCACCAAAGTTATACTAAAGTCAAATTTGTACATATAGTTTATAAGGTCATTAATTAATACAATGAAAAATATTGGTCCCAACACTGATCCCTGCGGAATGCCCCTAGTGAATTAAATTTTTGAAGTTTACATTAGTTTATTATTCTTATCATCAACGCCTTTTATTGCAACAAATTGTTTCCCATTGACTAAATAAGACTTTAAAAGTTCAAGTTTACCGTCTCTTATATCGTAGTGCTAAAATTTAGCAATTAATAAGTCATGATCCTAAGTGTCCAAAGCTGCAATTAAATCGAGGAAAAGACTACCTTTTGCTTATTATTCATTTCTCTCGTTATATCACCGATTAGTGTTTATGGCATCGCTAGCTCCGATCCCATGTTGATAGCCAAACTGTCTGGGGTGCAGTACTGACTATCGAGTTAAGTGTGCAACTAGCCGGACTTTGATAATGTTTTCAAATATTTTAGAGAAAGTTGGAAGCAGTGACATTGGTCTAAAGTATACAGGGACTGTTTTAGCTATTTTCAATTGCTCTGGAAAAATATTTTTATTTCATATTTTTTACTATTTTGTACACCTCATTAGCATCAGTCATGGGACATTCGATTTTATCTTCTACGCGTTTTGTGCTGCCTTGTAACGAGTTTGTAAGAGCGGCATTTAAATTAATGTGAACTTGGTCTTTTCCATGCTCGAAATTGTCACTAAAAATCGTGGCTGTGTCCTTAGGATCGTGAACAATTTTTTTATTTACTTTAAGTATAAACTGTTCTGGGACCTTTTTTTTTCTTTTTGTTAATGTGTGCGTTTATTATTGCCATATATATTTAGAAGAATTAGCTGATTTCCTTATTTCTGATTGTACCGAAAGATGCCGAGTCCATCTTAAAACTTTCTGATAATCTTGATATATAATATTTTAACTTTATTTCACACAAAACTAGTATAAACGGCGGACTTCATTCCATTGGGCATGCTTCACCAGTCCACTGCGCACTGGAGAGCTAGGTTCATAATAATGAACAAGCAGTGCATAAAGTAATAAGCTGAGATTAAAAACATATAGGATCAAAGCTTATAAATAAGTAAAATAGATAATTTACACACATAAGTTATACCTACACACAATGTACATATAACAATACATGACTATGACCATGTACACACATAGATTGTTTTTTTAGTATGGGGACATTCGCGTCCAAATCAAATCAAAGTCAAGCAAGGTCAAGGTCAAGGCAATCAAAATCAAGCTGCCGAAACTATAGATGATGCAGGGAACTCGTCTTAGGAACATTAAGTATTTTTTTTGTGACAACAATTTTTTGAAAAAAAAGTGGTCCCTACTGCCTTCCAGTGGGCGCTGAAGAGTCTTAGGAGAGCTGTTGATGCTGTCCAAGGGGTGCTATGGCATTTGGAAAAAAAAACTGAATTATCTATATTTATGAATTACACTACATATGTATAGTTTTTTCCTTGTGGTTTTTTGTGTTAAGTTAATATAAATAATTCTTTTTTTTTAATATGTTATCAAGTGACGAACAAGTCGTGCACCTGGTGGTTAGCTACACGCCTGTCCATAACAGTTGCAGTGCGACCCTTTTTTTCTATATCTATGGTGCCACCACTCAGAGCTTTAAATCGCTAAGACCTGACAGGCACCGCCACTGCGCCCGTCACCCTGTGGCATAAGTTGACAAGTCCCATGTGCCTTTAATTTCACCAGCACCCTTCAAAACCGGAACACAGTAATGGTCACATAACTGCTTGGCGGCAGAAATGGGTAAGGTGGCAGTACTACCCTGGACGAACTCTTTCACAAGGAGCTCTACTGCTACTACAATTAAAAATTCGTGAGGTCAATTTTTTTTGTGGTGGTAGGCGTTGACATTTTTTATCTTGCCTAAGAAGGCGGAGACAAAAAATTTGGGAAATATGGATAGACAATTGGTCAAGCATGACTTGTACATAGATTACTATGAATAAAACTGAATTTTTTTTAGTACTGATCGACTCAGTTTCATGTAAGGTTCATTTCATTGTATTGGAAGAAAAAATCAGAATAGAAGTTGGTCAATATAAAAAAAACAATGTAACAAATAGATGCATTACTTTCTCAAACTCGTATCTTATAAAGAGTGATTATTCAGGAGATGGCTAAACTTTGTTTCTTTTAAATTTCTTATCAAGGGTGTTAATTTGGATACATTACTTTAAGAATAGGTAAAAGCCAGTGGGAGAATATGAAGGAAATGTGATGAGAAATCAGCCTGCGAAATTTGTATATACAATCCATTTTTTGCATTTCAGTAAATTTATGACACGAGTTTGAAAGTAAGGCGACGAAATATAATGTATAACTTAGAAAATAAACTCATAGATCATTAACAAGTAATCAATTTTCCCACTGACTTTATTACTAAGCAGAATTACAAGTTGATTAATATAATGCTCTGATTGTTTCAGGTTTCAATCACCAATGAATAATGGAAAAAAAGTATAGAATATTGAATTGAATCAAATATTTATCCATGATGTTACAACCAGTATTGACTTTGTAGACACTGGCAGCAGCAGCAGGTGGCTCAAAGAGTGATTACAAAGCTTCACACAGAACATCGTCATATACAACTAAGCACATGGTAGCGTCATATACAACTGAGCTTGCTACTAACTACTGGCCAGTCTGCAAGGACATGACACCAGATGGTTTCAACATCCCAAGTCCCCGATGGGCCCCTGAACATAAACCTTACGCATAAAGGGGCCCCTATGTGAATTTCTTGGTTGGCTCGGTTAAACAAAGATCTTTGTCCTTTGATGTTCAAAGACTTCATTGTATTCTGCAAAAGGATTTTTGGGATCGTACACAATCATACCGTGCGAGAAATCTGAAAAAAAAAGGTGTGGTGTAACTGCATGTTTTGGTCTGTAACTAATATTGATCTACATACTCACGTCTACAAAAACTTAGCAATGTCTGACCTGGAAATTAAAGCTGAGGAGAGAAGGTCTGATGACAGTTCTGATAGCATATACATGAGTATAAAAATGGAACCAGAATCAGCAGACGATGAAGAACGGAGTCGAGTTATAAAGAAAAATCCTGGAGGCTCAGAACACAGCTATCTAGACTCCGATTGGGAGGTACAAATTAAATTGGAAACTCTGGATCAAGAAGAAGAAGAACAAATAACAGTTGAACCAGATTTATATGAACATGAGGTCAAGGAAGACCCAACCCTTGCAGCGTTGCAACAGCCTGAGAACTCTTGCTACGATATCAATGTAGATTTTATAAGTGACAGTGAACAAATAGACGATGCGTTGCAAGAAGAATTGTCAATCCAAGAGAGTGGTAGTAAAGGAAAGAAAAAATTCCAATGTCGAACTTGTCTGAAATCATTTTGTTCAAAGCAGTATTTAGGTCAGCATGAGATAATACATACGGGAGAAAGGCCGTTTGTATGCAAGATCTGCGGCAGGAGTTTTACCAAGAAAGATTATTTACGTAGACACACATGGACTCATACGGGTAATCAGTTCACGTGCAACATTTGCAACAAAGGGTTTGCTCGTAAGGAATCTCTTAAAAGCCATGAAATGAGTCACACTGGCGAAAAAACATTTATGTGTAACATTTGTCACAAATATTTTACGAGACAGCAGAATTTGAATTTACATTTGTTGCATCATAGCGGCGAGAAACCATATGCCTGTAACATTTGTAACAAACGATACACTTTGAAACGGAGTCTTAACGCTCACGTGTTGAGACATACAGCTGAAAGAACATTCGCATGTGATATTTGTAACAAAAGCTTTATGGATAAACATGGTCTCAAGAATCATGCAAGGAGTCATACCGGAGAAAAACCACATTCATGTAATATTTGTAACAAACGTTTTACAAGAAAACATAACCTTAATTTGCATTTAAAGGCTCATACCGGTGAGAAACCGTTTGGATGTGATATTTGTAACAAGCATTTTATAGATAAACAATATTATAAACAACATTTATTGACTCATAGTGAAGAGAAAAAGTTCGTATGTGATATTTGTAAGAAATGCTTCTCTATTAAGAAGTATCTTAAAAAACATTTAATGAAGAAGCATTCTAGGCTTGTCCATGGAAGATCAAAGCGAGTTATTAAATAAGAATATATTATCGGGAATAAGTTATGCGGTGACGAATCTCGTGTTAAATGAATTGTTGTACTATCAGCAAGTATTGTGCAGTAGCAGTAATGGAAATTCAATTTCCATTACTGCCATCGGAAGGGAAGCAATTTTTTGTATTGAAATAGAGACGAAATGTCATTTAATTTGTTTGAGAACTACTCTGCCAAATCATTACGGTGGCAACTGCGCTTCGATTGATGACCAATTGACGGGTGTCGTCAATTGTTTCGCTCCAAATCGACCAATTTAATTTGAGCTTTGCCATAATGGACGAAAATTGAAAAAATACATTTTCAATTACCGATGAGATTTGATTACGTTTGTTTTGTAATTAGATCTTTTGCTGTTTTTCCCACACCACCAAATAGAACAGCCCCCATTGTTCGAGATATTATCTTTATTACAATAAATACAGAATATTTTTGGGAAAAAAACGGAGACATACATACAGGTCAGTTGTTGGTGCTGTACTATTTCAGCTTTCTAATTTGTGATTTCAGCGCAAACGAGAGTTGATATTTAAAAGTGATATAAGACCCATTTGCCTGATGAGTTGCTAAGGATGGATGGCCCTTATTTCGTCTCTATTTCTGGTTATATACTCGATGTGCTATATATATGTATACATACTTACAATTTTGTTACAAAACTTTGCTTCCATGCCGTGACGCGGCAATGTAAATTGAACCTTATTTTGTGAAAGTCTTTTGTTTATAATACAGGACCTAGCCCTTAGGCTGGTTTCAGAGAAGTGCGGACCGTCCGCGCCGACCACCGGAGCGGAGTAACCCGTCACAACGTTAGAATGTCGTTTTACAGTAACGCGGATTGCTCCGTACGGAACACGTTCACACAAGCCAATCTTGCGTGTGAATATCCTCACTAAATTTAATACTCGATTCAGGGGGTCTATTCCCATTCTCCGTCCGACTTCTGTCCAAAATAATTATTGTTAAATAAGTAATATTCGACCAAATTATAAGACCCATTATGTAAATGAAGCTTCATACTTGACATTTTGATTTGGTCGTGTATTACTTATTTGACAATTATTGTTTCGAGCAGATATCTACGGGAGTAAACCCCCAGAGCGGATTCTATGCAAGTGGATCGCCCGCAAGCAGACAGTCCGTACGGACCGTACGCACAGCTGTGAAACCAGCCTAACGCCATTGATTGACAACAACAAGAAAGCGGCGCTTGACCGCTACTGACCCTAATTGCCTGTAAAAAAAACCCTCGAAAAAGTAACTCATCGATTTTGCTGATAGTACGCTCTTGTGGGCAATTAATACCATGTTATTTTCAAATTGGCGCGTACAATTTGGACAGTGCATCTGAAGACGACTATTTTTTTTTAGGAATCTTGACCAGGGTAAGAAATTATCAAAATATTTATTTTATTTGATAATTATCATGATCATTAGCTCATAATTATCCGATAATTATCAGTGCTGGTTGGAAAACGATTGGGTATGCGACTCATTTTTTTTTGCGATTGGCATGACGCACTCGACATGTATGGATGCTTCTCTGATACAAACACAAGACACGACATTGCTATATTCTTGTCTTTTTTGAAGACGGAGTAAAATGACATTTGTAGAGTTGCCAGTTTTCATAATATTTTAAATAGTTATGTAGTTCTTCGTCGATAGTTTTATAAATAGATTGTGGAAGAAGATAAAATTTTGCCAACAATGACAGAATTGTGAATGTTACGACGCTTTAATGATTAGTAATCTCGTTATTGCCTTCTTTATTCTTATTTTGACAGTGACCTACTAGTATAGAGATCAAGTTTTATTCACATACATTTTAATAAGAACAGGCAGATATGATTATCTATATGGAATTAAAATGAAAAACTTTAAAACATGTCTCCACACATTTTAAAGTTTTTCATTTGTAATATGAAACAAGTTCAACTATTTATTCCATAGATAGAATATTTATCGACTGCAATCACTAGCTGCTCGCAAGCGGGCAACACGTTTGCGCTAACTGTCATTTTACTCTGTCTTCTAAAAAGACCAACTATAGTGGTAACATTTTGTTCCAGTTAATTTTAGAAATATGAAGATAATTATCATATTATTTATGAAGATAATTGTCATGATAATTTAATGATTAAATAATTATCAATGATAATTATCACTCCGAACCCTGATCCAAACTAATTTTGCAAAGGATTGTTTAAATTTTGTAAATAGACTGTTTATGTACGACACAGATGAATTCAAAGAGTTTTGCATATGAGTATTATTATGCCTAATCTAGGCAAGATGTTAATAATGTACCTAGGTTTTAGAATACGAAAGATATTCCCAGCAGTGGCGTTGCAGTCGCACTTGTTTTCCCTTTCTCACTTATTTCAATTGTGATATGCGAAAAAGAGAAAATGCGTTCGGTCGCACCACCGTCGTTTTAAAATATAGTTATTACAATTTGAACCTAAGAAGAGGTTAACATTTTAACTACCTTGGTAATAAACTACTTACCTACAAGTATTTGTACTTTTTTTTATTACAGCAGATGCGATTAAACACAGGCTGTATTGAACCCTGTGTTAGGTTAATAATATATCCAGCTAAATTTAGCATATCTATTTCTACTAACGACTACCTCGGTGACCTGACGGCTTATACTGTGCGTTGGATGTAGAGGTCCCGGGTTTGATTCCCGGTAGGACCAAATTAGGAAATGAACTTTTCTAACTCTGGGTGTTCTGGGAAGTGCCCCAGAGGGAATTCCGTTGCCTCCGGTACTCAGATTACATGGAATGCCCTAGTTTGAGACCAGAAGCCCAAGCACGAACATTTCAATCCTACGTCACGTTTTCGAATCGCCTCTACTACACGAAAACGTACGCTACACTCATACCTATACTCATCGAGTATATGACCAGAAATAGAGATAAAATAAGAGCCATTCATCCCTGGCATATCATCAGGTAGATGGGCCTTATATCACTTTTACACATAAGAATCCTGAAATAGTACAGCGCCAACAACTGACCTGTGTGTACGTCTCCGCATATTCCAAAAATATTCCGTATTTATTGTAATAAAGATAATATCTCTAACAATGGGGGCTGTTCCATTCGGTGGTGTGGGAAGACGGCAAAACAACTAATTACAAAACAAACTGAATCACATTTCATCAGTACCTAATTAAATATTAAATATGTAATTTTTCAATTTTCGTCCATTATAGCAAAGCTCAAGTTAAACTGATAGATTTGAAGTGAAATAATTGACGCCCGTCAATTGTTTCGAATTCGGGCTGGCCAATCAGAGAGCAGTTGTCACCGTAATGATTTGGCAGAATAGTTTTCAAACAAATTAAATGACATTTCCAAGGCTAAAAATAAAGACTATATTTTAGAGTATGCAGTACAACTTTATTATTACATTAACTAAAGTTACTTTGTTACGTAGAAGTAGATATTTATGTATTAAATCTTGTAGCCTACATTCAAACCATCTGTGGTAACGCATCACAAAACCAATAAGACGCTAATCTTTAAAATGATGTAATATGTTTGTCAATATTTTCTTTTTCAAGCAATACTGTTGATACTTGAGCCAAATCGTCACAAACACGTTGTCTGATGATATTGCTTCGTATACAGCGATAAGTTCGCGCCAAATCATGGTTTCAACTTAAAAGGGTCATGTAACCCTTTGTGCAAGGTATGCATAAGGATTTTAGACAAGTTTGGTAACATATCGGGGCGGGCGACGATACATCAAGCACGAATGATGTTTGAGAGCTGTTGCAATCGACCCAGTTGTCAAAATATCTGCACAATTAAAAATGTTCTTCAATGAGTAGATTCATTACATTGACGTGATGAATAGCTTTGAGGTAAGGATATTCCGGTCTGCAATAAGATTCGGCCCTGTTGCAGAACGAAAAAGATAACGCCTATGTTTATATTTCTGTTCCATTTGAATGTGTTTGTGATGAACGTGCGACACATTTTGGTGGTATAATATTATAGGGTTTTAAGGAAGTCTGTTACTAGAAGGATTCTTAGCATAATTCACATCTGACGTCGCTTTGATACTTCGAAAGATCTCATGACATTATGCGCTCTGTATCTGTGAACAATTGTGTTTGTTTAGTTTTTATATTTATACAAACTGAGTATCTTATTAACAGTGCCAGCTTAACCTATGGTGCAGTGTGTGCAGCGCGCACGGGCGCAGGGTTTTAGGGCGTCTTCAAATTAGACTCTCATAGAAGCGCTACAGTTGAATAGAAGTCACGCCACTTCCTAATAATGTTCATACGCCACTGTCGTGATACGCGCGCGCCATTTTGCGTATTAGTGAAATAAAAATTACGGAAGCGCTACAGACGCGTGGCTGCCGCACCAATATTATTTTTCATACAATATTTAGAAGCGTAATTGCAGCGCTACTAGTAAACTATATATTAGTTTTAAGTGCCACTATTTTAACTGCCTCTGTGGCTGAACGGTTACCATTGCCACGCAGAGGTGCCGGGGTTCGATTCTCGTGCCGGGAGAAATATTTGTATGGCCCATATTATTTCTCCCGTGAGTTTGGGTGCAATTTGTAGTTTGTGGTTGTCTATGTGTGTCATGGTCATGCATGGCACCCGTAATGCAGGGTTTTCTTAGTGCGGGGTTATGAGTGTGTTATTATTGTTATTGAAGTGCAACATACGCGCGGCTGCCGCACGACAGTCGCGCCACTGCAGTACTTCTATAAGCGTCTAATTTGAAAGCGTCCTATGGCTGCGGCCGACTGCGTGTGGTGCACATTGCACGCAATCGTGTGTCTTGTGTTGGATACATTCAACGCCCGTTTATTTCGCATGCACCGCGAGCTACGCAGGCTATTTTCAAGCGTCGCGAGCGACGCACGGCGCACTCTAAGGGTCGTATTCCAGAACTCTACTCAATGCTCAAGTTAGGATTTGAGCAGACTTGAGTATGATTTCAGGCACTGGAAATACGACCCTAATGGCAAGGACTTGAGTATGATTTTCAGTGCTCACTGCAATACTCAAGTTCTGACTTGAGTATTGAGTGGAGTTCTAGAATACGACTCTACGACTGCTAACAGATTGACTGCATGTTGGCAGTTAACGTGCGAAGCCATAATCAACTTCATGCAGTCGAGGTCCCGGGTAACGACTTCGCGCATTAACTGCATGCAGTCGAAACCGACTTCGTATGATATTTAATACCTTTAATCATTGACTTACAATTATATGGACGTCGGGTCCGCGCTAAAAAGTGTCCAAACTTATAGGGCGTTAAAATCGTATACAGAGCGTCATTCACGTCTTCGTTTGTTCGACTGAAAGCGAAGCAAGCAAAATTAGACAGTACTGCGATGACATTACAATTTAAATTCAACGTTTTAGCTTTTTCATATTCCCTTACATGTCACTACATTTAAGTAGGTTGACTTGGGACATTTTTTTCGTGGTTTTTGTTCTAGACCCGTCGTCCATTTATTTGTAAGTCAATGCCTTTAATATAATAAGTATCTATATTGCAAAACACACAAAAAATAGGTACAGAGATGTGCCTAACTGGGATGTCCAGTACTACGGATAGCCAGGCTATTACAATAACTAAGTATATTACAATAAGCTTATAAAATATTAATGGTAGAACACAAAGAGAGGTGGTTCACATTTAATTTTGGTCAATCCTACGATCGAAGACAGTTTTGTTTGATTAAGACTATTAAAATCTCAACTAAGACTAGTGTGAAGCAAATGAAATCTGGAATACTTTTCCTTTCATTTGCACAGGGAGGGAAGTTGATAATTTGTAGCCTTTGTAATTAATCAAACAAATCTTCCATTATAGGATTAACCATTCGCGCATTCCAGCTTTGACAAATCTGTCATCGCGCTTTTAAACTTTCGCGCAGTTGACTATTCCAGACATACCGTCTATCGCGTAGTCTAGCGCGGCATTTGCAATCACGTGGGAGACCCTCCATCATGATTGCTGCTTGCATGACAAGGTTGTGATTTAACAAGGCACAAATTCAATACTTACTTTAGAATTTTTCCCATCAGAGAGCCTGAGATTACAGATGAGCTCCAGGGCAGACGGCTGCGAAAAATTTCAAAAGGAAATAACCATTGTGTGTAGAAGGCGATTTGTTAGAATGACTGAAAAGTAGTTCTGCTTACGTTATCTATAACAAACATGATTGGGATTATGTGCTTGGTTTCCTTTCATATCGGATACATATTGTTTGTCAATAAAAATATCTAAGATTGAGACATATCTATTATTACTTTTCCTCAATGGCGGCCATAAGTTTGGTTGTTGAGTGACAGCTTTGTGATTGACAAATTGAGAAAAGATTCTTCTTCTTTTGACTTATTGGCGGTGCCTTTTTGGATTTCACCAGAGTTTTCAGCCTAGTATTTTTAGTATTGTGTTATCCAATCTTGGAGGTAGGCCTCTTCCCTCTCCTGTCGCTAATCCATAAGAAATAAAGGGTAAAAAAAGAAAAAAAGAAAAAGAATTTAAAAAAAAGAAAAAAAGAAAAAATACATAAGACTGCAGTACTAATTAATAATAGGGGTTAAAGTATGAAATTGCCGATTTGTACTGAAAATCTAAATTGTTTATTTTTTAAATTTTTAACAAATTTATTTAATCAAAATAGTTGCCATTATTATCTATACATTGCTGCCATCTAATGGGAAGGTTATTAATGCCTTTGCGATAGAACTCCGACGACCTAGACTGCACAAACTGTGTGAAAGCATTTTGTACTGCCTCCTGGGAAGAAAACTTCTTGTCACGTAGATAATTGTCCAAATCACGAAAAAAATGGTAGTCCGTTGGAGCAAGGTCTGGTGAATACGGAGGATGACGAATGGTTTCTAACTGCAGTTCCTGAAGGGTCAAAATGGTTTCTCGTGCTGTGTGAGGTCTCGCGTTGTCGTGGAGCAATAATGGTGAAGATCGATTCATGAGTCGGGGCTGTTTTACTGCTAGTTTTGTCAACATGGTTCGGAGTTCGGCACAATAGACATCTGCCGTTATTGCTTGACCAGATCGGAGAAAACTATAGTGAATAACACCATGCTGAGACCACCAAACAGTTACCATTACCTTTTTATTGGTAAGTTTTGCTTTAGGACACTGTTGTGGCATTTGACCTGGGGTCAGCCATTGCATTTTTCTTTTCCGGTTATCATAAAGAATCCACTTTTCATCACATGTTACAATTCGATCCAATATTCCTTCATTTCTGTACCGGTTCAACAAGGCAACACAAGTTTCAACACGCGTTTCTTTCTGCAGATCAGTCAAATCATGAGGCACCCATTTTTCGTATTTTTTTATTTTATTGATTTGACGCAAGTGAGTCAATATTGTGGGTAAGGTAACGTTAAACCATGCCGCTAATTCCTGGGTAGTTTGACTAGGATCGGCTTCCACTATCTCTCTTAATTCATCGTTATTCACCTGTGTGGGCGGTCTTCCTCGTGGCTCGTTCTTTAAGTCGAAATTTCCATCACGAAAGCGTTTAAACCAAAATCGCACGGTGCGTTCATTAGTAGACCCCTCTCCAAACGCAGCATTGATATTGCGGGCTGTTTCTGCCGCGTTAGTTCCGCGTCGGAACTCGTATTCAAAAATCACTCGAATTTTCGCAGTATCCATCTTTCTTGTCTAAATTGAATAACAAAAACAATTGAAAGTCGATATTCAAATGTTTCAAATTTAAAAAAAAAAAATCACAGAAACCATTTGAAAAAAGTTTCATTCGAAAACCTCAAACCATGAAGATTCTATGAAAATTCAAAGAACCTATTGCAATAAAACGGCAATTTCATACTTTAACCCCTAATATGTTTTAGTTTATTCTAATTTCTATTATTAATTAATAATAAATTGAACTCACAAAAAATTCATTCAATAAAATATTTTGTAAAACTTAATGTAGCGTAAATTGGAATGTTTTCTTTGCAAAATTAAAAATAAGATATTTAACTAATAACTATTGTAACTATAGTGAAAAATAGGGTGGTTTGCTTTAATATTAGACATAACTGGTTGAACCTCAGTCAACCGTGACCATGGGACCTGTAAAGGGCCCGAAACGTCGGTTTGTTCGAAAAAACAAATATAAGCGGTTTAAATCCGGAAAAATAGTTTCATTTCCTAGAAAAAAAATTAAAAAAAAGAAAGGAAAGAAAAAGTAATGGGAAAAAAGATGGGGAAAAGGGAAGGAAGGAAAAAAATAATGTTATATATAATAACACAAATAAAAATGTAGTATTAAGTACAAATAACTATTCTTGTAAACTCTCCTTAGTATTATGTAATTTAGTATTATACTAAGTATTGTATTATTCTCAGTACACTTCTCTCACATATACTCCCAATACTCTCGCATGCAATTAGATGTGGGCGTTTAAACGTAAAGCACTTAAAAAAGTCTGCTTTTTAAAATAAGCGTATAAGCACGCTTTTCATTTTAAGCGTAAGCGTTGGTCACTGGTCAGTTCTATAGGTACTCAACAATTTCATTTTTAACAACGTACATTATGTAAGTTTCAAGTAGCGTCATCTATGTTTCCTAAACAAATTAATTCAGCATTAAAGCTTTTTTTAACATAAAGTCTATGCGCTTAAACGTTTTTCTAAGCGACTTTTTAACCGTCAAACTAAAAGCGTTGATGTGAAAAGCGCCTTTACAAGCACGCTTTTTAAACGCAAGTTTTAACGTTAAAAATAAGCAGTTTCTTTTTAATTTTGACTAAAATGGCTCATTACTTGCCTAGTAATAATTAGCCTAGTATCAATCATATTTTGATTACAGTAAACTACACAAGTTTGCAAACATAAAACACAGTAACAACAGTTTCAACATTCAAGCCATACATTTGCATGTCGATATTGACTTATCTATTATTATGGTACAACACTAAATCCACCATTTGTGGTGGACATTTTTGGTTTAGGTAGGGACGTTTATTCCGTAGATAAGGCAGCTCCTTTCCTTTATTTTTTTGCATCCTCTAAGGGCCTCATCGTAATAATCCATTTCGCCAATGTCAAGTAAAATTGACTATGTACGGTAGTTTTGTAAAAATAGTATAAAAATTATGGCGAACGACGCCATTAGCAAGGTCGGTACCTCTTACCTTCCATCCTCAAAATATGTCATAGTCTAATATAAACATCGCTAATATGTTGAATGAATTAAATTAGTTCACAATATGGTGCATGAACAGTACAGCTCCTTGTGAAAGAGCACGTTCAGAGAAACGCTGCCATCTTATTTATTTCTGCCGCCAAGCAGTAATGTCAGCATTGCTGTGTTCCGGTTTTAAGGTGCCGCTAAAATTACAGGGACTTGTCACTTATGTCTCAGGGTGACGGGCGCATTGCCAATGCCCCCATAAAGGATGGAAAATAGTCTAAGAGTGCCCTTCAGATCTTTGCGATTTAAAGTTCTTGGTGGCAAATTAGTGTCAAGTGTTTTTTTTAAATTTTATGGCTTTGTTCTTTGTTCTTGTTAAATATTTTTTTAATATAAACATATGTCTCGTATCTACTTTTCCATAAACAGTATTTTCTAATATAATTTATTAGGTAATTAAATTATCTAATGTATATAGTAACTGAAAACACACCAGTTCAAATAGGTTTATACCTAATCGGTTTTCTTTCTCGACATTAGTCGTGACTTCAGACCGATAACTGGAGGCTGAGCTGTTTTGAAATAAGCTGGTTTAAATGGTTGAATTTAAACAATACAACATTAAATAAAAAGAAATTAAAAACCAGATGTGTTATACGTTTGATGTAGATTCTTTTACAGTCATAAAAAATATACGTGAGAAACATTGACTTACAAATAAATGGACGACGGATCTAATACAAAAACCACGAAAAAAATGTCCCAAGTCAATCTATTTAAACGTAGTGACATGTAAAGGAATATGAAAAAGCTAAAACGTTGAATTTAAATTGTAATGTCATCGCAGTACTGTCTAATTTTGCTTGCTTCGCTGTCAGTCGAACAAACGAAGACTAAAGCGTGAATGACGCTCTGTATATGATTTTAACGCCCTACAAGTTCGGACACTTTTTAGCGCGGACCCGACGTCCATATAATTGTAAGTCAATGGTGAGAAAAGATGCTATTGTCAATTTTGGGTATACGGTCCTCACGAGCAGAACGTACCCACACCACCTGAGTTGACACTGCAAATGTATATAGGTTGTGGAAACCTGAAAACCTGTAGCATGTACCAAAAACTACAAAAAAGTAGAGACGACTCCTCCTACTACAGACCTATTACACTCACTTCAATACCGTGCAAGATTATGGAACGTGTAGTTAACTTCCGTTTCCTGGCGTACTTTGACAATAACGGCCTTTTTAGTGATCGCTAGTGTACTGATTCCGACGAACGCTTTATCCACTTATGGAGCGAGAGTATCAAAGGCCATAGCGAAGCTCTTGCGGTGTCCATGGACATTTCTGAAGCATTCGACAGGATCTAACACGCAAGCCTTTTAAGCAAGTTCCCATCATATGTACTTCCCACTAAGCTTTACAATTGAATCTTAGATTTCTTGTGCAGACAATCGATTCGAGTTGTCTAAAGAGGATTACTTCTCCGAACAATAGGCGATGATGATAGAGTTCCTCAGGGCTCTGTATTGTCTGCAACTCTTTTTGTGAGATATATCAACGGTATGTTAATAACAGACTCCTCTGGTAAGCTGATGACAGCACAGTTGTGGATACTTGTCCAACGTAAGGGCCAGTGGTGAAGAAGTTCAGTCTTGTTGAGAGTTCATGGTTAAATCGCGTATATTTATTTGTTTTTCATACAAGCCAACGTTTCGGGCTCTGTACAGATCCCACGGTCATGGCTGTCTAAGACGGTCACCATGTCAGTCAGCCGAGAAAATAGTTTCATACCAAATTTTAAAACATTTTCCTTTGTAAACCGGTTGACAATTTAATTAGTTAAGAAAAGAATGCTGTCCATTGTTCATGTAGTAGCCATGGTAGTGCAACGGTTTGACCTAGTGCCTCTCCAGCGGAAGCCGTAGGTTCGAATCCGGGCACGGACCTCTGAGTTTCAAGGAATTTATGCCGGGTGCACGATCTTTCACCAGCGTTTTTCGCTTGCTTACGTTGGCTAGATATCAAACACACGCAACGCAAAGAAATCGGCCACGCAAGCAAGCGAAACACGTAAGTGAAAGACTTGTGCACCTAACAAGGGTCCTTCGCCAAAATATTTACACCGAAGCGTAGGTGAAGGTGAGTTAAAGAAGGTATG